TTTTTAGTACATATTTTAATTCAGATAAAATTAATGCCTTTGTTATATATTTATTTCTTCAATAAAAATGGTGGTAAAATTAACATGATAATTAGGATATTCAAAATACTTGGATGACAGTTAACTTCAAAGAGTTGACTAAAATGTTTGAGCTACCCAGCAACCTCAAAATAAGTCAGAAAATTCTTGGAGGTAGGGAATCTGGTGCAGGATAGAGACATGGGATAGCTGTCCTCCTACCTTCTTCAACAGTTTCCTAGAGGAATGACTGCTCTAGAGAAGAGGGCTTCTGCATTTTTTTTTTCTTTGAAAGCATTTGAAGAAAAAAATAGCACACACAACAATCCCCCATATTTTTGAAATTGACATCAAACACAAATTTAGTGTATATTTGTCTGGCTCCAAAGCATATAATTTACAGCTTATTGCAAACTTTATATGTTCTTTAAGGATATGTACCCTAAGACTTAGGTATATGGCTGTTTGAAACCAATCTTAAACAGACGGAGTCGAAGAAAGGTAAGGTGGATGGACAGATGGCTGGTCATGTAGCAGAAAACAGGTAGATTGAAACAAAATGGTTCCCTTTATTTCTTCTCTGAATACCTAGTTTTGCTCCTAGAAGTACTCCTCTGGGAATAATAGTTTATTCTGCAATCTTCCTTGGTTGATCATCCTTGAATTTCCTACTTCTCAGAATGGCATACTCTTATAAGTAAGAACAAAGTGAAAAGCATCCCTTTGTTTTGCAAAATGGAAGAGGAGAAATTATGAAGTAGAGGTGGAAAGCTAAAAGTTCATTCATAAATTAATCCCATTGGACCACTTATAGTAAAGAGGATCTAGTCATTTAATATGCTTTAGTCTGTCTCCTCATTTTTCAAATTTCAGTAGATGCACTGAACTCAAATTCACTGAAGTAAAATCTCCACAAAACATCTTCTCATCAGGCCCTCCCTGGTGGCGCACCGGGTTAAAGCACTGCACTAAGAAACTATGCCACTTCCGCATGAGTTCGATTCCTGCCTGCCCCGGAGGCGACCACATGGCATGGCAGACCTCTCCTGACCCGCACGCTGCTCCCCTCAGCAGTGTACTTCGTAGATCTGCCTGTTCTGCTTCCAGCTCTGTCTCTGGTGAATCCTCTCACCCTCCGCATCTCTGGCCTGTACCCCAGTTCTGTACGAATAAATAAATAAATCTTTAAAAAAAAAAAAAACATCTTCTCATCATAGCCTCTCTCCTCCCATCCAGCATAACTGAGAATTTTTCTCCTCTATTGTTTTGTTTCTAAAACTCAAATTTTGTAGTGGTGTATGTAAAATATACATGTACACTTTTATGGAAGAATACAATAATTCATGATAATAATTTACCATGGAAAATGGCTTAATAGCAGTGATTTAACATATCTAGCTTATTTGTCTTTCATATAACATTCAGTACAGAAAGACTGTTCTATAAATTAAGCAAAGAAATCAGGATGCTTCTATGTTGTTGTTCTACATTCAGAATAGCTCATCAGAACATTCCACCCAACATTCATTTTCCATGTCACTAGAGACACAAAGAGGAAAACACGTATGTGCAAGCACCCTGTAATAATATGACCTGGAATAAATTACACATGTTAACACAGCTCATGTCCCACTAATAGAGATATACATAGAGATGATAAATAAGTGAGTGTGTGGTAGGAGAGAGGGAGGGAGGGAGGGAGGAATGAAGGGGGGATGGTGGAAGGTAAAGAGAGAGAGAGAGAGAAGATCATATACCTTGTTATTAAGGTAAATCCATGACAGCTGATTTCCTTGAGACAGAATATTCAAGCACTTTGCAAAACTGATGAAAATCAATCAATGAGCACATTGATGAAAACAAAAGAATTTGCAGAAGATACTTGAGACATTTTTTGGAAAATTTTCCTTCTGAACATTTTATACAGCAAATGAAGTCTATTCTAACTCAGTGGGTGATAGTGAATTAAGTGTTCAGGAGCTTAAACAAAACAAATACAGACTGATTGTCCCCATATGTGCTTATGCTGTTGGCTGCCATAAAACAAAACCTTTCATAACTGAAACCTGAATTATCTCAGGATTAGGAAGCAGCTGTACCAGTTCTACAACATCTTGATGCTAAAATTGACTCATGGCCCTGTCTTTTCCTATTTCCATAACTTGATGAACCAATACCATAAATCAATTTTTATTAATCTGTAAACTGGGAAGGCTAATTACTGAGAAGGACGAGAATAAGATTTGCTGACCCAACCAGAATCCCCTGTATTATTAACATGGATAGCATTGTTTTCTACTTATTTATTCTATCAATATTTATATTAAAGGAATCAAAGTTATTGTGAATAATAAGTGTAGAGAATTATTATTGGTAACTGTTAGCAATCTGTCTTAATAATTACTAAATGAAGTCAATAAAAATAAATCTCCAGAACTATTGTGTCAAACTTTTAAATTTTCGTGAAAAGTATTAAGTGACAATGAGTGTGGAATACCAGAATTACTCTTGTTTCTAAATAATCATGTTTAAAACCATAGATTTGTAGGACACAATCCCAAACAACTCCATAGAAGTAGAATCTTGATAAGAGCACCTTGTAGCACAAATGCTGAATATGATCTTCTACCTATTGTAAACAGCTCACACTATGGGCCTGAATTTACAAAATATGAAAAGTTAATGATAGAGGCATATTATCATATCATACCATAACAATATGAACAAATCTTAAATAAAGGTCTATTCCCCCTCGCTTGATACTATTAAATAAAGGCTTTTTTTTGTTTTTCTTTTTTGGTACTTATGAACAAGTTGCAATTTCCTTGAACCCACACACCATTTTCCGGAGTCTCTCCAATCTTTTGAAGCAATTTTGCCCTTGAGATGCTTGATTAGTATTTGGGGGTTCATATGTTAGTAAAGCTATTGGTAGATCTAAATCTAGAGATCTATAAGATATAGAAATCATCATCAACATCCTAATTAGTAGATTACACATAATCTTTACAATCCTTAAAAAGTATGTGATGTAGCTGCTATGATTCTGATAGTAGGATGGCAATACTAAGACTAAAGGAGGCTAAAAAACTTAATCACTAACTTATAGTAAGATATGAAGCAAATATTGGGTTATTACGGGGGGAGAGGGAAATAGAAAATGAGGCCCTAAGTAATAAAAATCGTATCCCAAGAAACAACAAAGTATTTTTAACTCAATTTGAGGCTGGGTGCAAAGCAGGAATTTGAGATAGTCTGCTTTGGAGTATATGTCCAAATGCAAAACTCTTGAATTGAGAGGTAATGCAGAAGAGGAGATGCAGGGAGAATTTTGCTGGTGTTATTAGAATGAAAACTAATTAAAAATAGTCCAAGTAATGAACGGCCTATGTTTTCTTCCCATGTTGTTTTGGGAGAACCTTTTATATGTGTTTGATATCCTACCTTAATACCTAGATTGCATTCATTAATTCCATGGACTTCTACTTTATCATATGACAAGCAAAAACTTGCATTAGAATTCAAAGATTTCAAGATTCCCAGAACCTCAACATAGAAAGTTGTCTTTTATTTATTTCACAAACACAGAAACTCAATGGGTGAGTTTCTATTTGTACAGGAATGTTGTTGATCATTACCATCATAGAAGTAAGATTCATAAACAAAGCTCATTGAGAAAATGTCCTACAGACTGCCAAGTGACACTGTTGAAAACACAACCAAATCTGACTTAGGAGATTTGCTCAGAAACAGAGAGGGTATCTGGTTTGTATTCACTATGGAAAATTCATTGGAAAATTTCCAGGTAGGATATCTATATAAACTAAATCCAGTAGCATTTCTGAGTTTCTAAACAAATGATCATATGGTCAATCATGTATTAACTAATGCTTCCAAAGCATATTATAACTCCGAATGTTAACCAACTGCTGAGTGAAACCTGTAATTGCTCCAAACAAATGTCTCTATATAAATAAAAATGCATTCCAACCTAAGATTACATAATGTAGAATATAGTGATTTTAACATAACTATTTATACAATTAAAAATCTTCATGAGTAGAGAACACTAAATTATGGTTTTATAGTTTCATAATTCTCAACTATAAGGTTTTTCATATGGCTTCTGTTTATTGGTACCTACTGTGTGTCAGACAGTTGTAGGAACTTGAGATATATTATCTCTTACTTTAATGGAATCTTATAATAATAATTTCATGGCTCAATTAACAGAAAAGTGAAATGATAATTAAATTTCTTGAGTTACTTATAAGTAATAATCTATCTACCTATCTATCTATCTTTCTATCATCTATCTATCTAATTACTAATTCCATCAAACAGTTTCATCAGCCAGATGAGGGTATTTGTATAGAGAAAGCTTTCTAAATATTTTCATTTTATAGCAAAGGTGAATAAGAAAATCATAGTATAGTCCTTCTCTGTTGGCTCAACAGGCTAAACTACAGCAATACAAGCAAGCCACAGCTGCTAAAGTTCAAGGCCCATCCCCAGTGGGGAGATGACCTACATGGCACAACAGTCTCCTGTCTTACCCCCTGCTCCCCTCAGCAGTATACTCTGTCAATTTTTCTGCTCCCCACTCTGTCTCTGGGGAATCTTCTCACCCCCTGCACCTCTGACCCGCACCCCTATTCTATATGTATAAATAATAATAAGAGAAAACCATAGTACATATTTTCTATGTCAGTTTTCCTATAAATTTCAGTTTTGTTGAAATATCATCATATATGTAATTTGTCAGTGACTTACAGAAATATTTTTTTTCTTTCTAAGACTAGTGAAAACATAGAGGAAATTCCTTCATTTCAATTTTCTATTTGAGAGAAGGCAATTACAAATTCTAAATGAGTTTAAAGTAGGAAGATTAGGTCTTTCTAATTTTTATTTACACGCACAAGCACACACACACATATCATTACTTTTGCCAACTGTAAATATAAAAGAATCATTTATCTTACCAATACATGAAGCAATTTCACCGTAGATGCTCCAACTTCATTAGGACACTTCATACATAAGAGTTCTACATCTTGAAACCATCTCCATCAAATTCCCTAACTGGAAAAAAAAAAAAAAAAACACTTGGGCAGTGGAAAAACAAAGTTAGTTCCTTGCAACATTTCTAACTTCAGACTTCCCATTGTCATTTTCACTTGACTGCTTTTGCTCCATGTATGAAAAAAAAAAAAAGTTATACACTTTCAAGATTCAGATTCACCATCTCAACTAATGTATCCAGCTCTGGTTAAATACTCTTGCTGGTATTTCCACATGGTGGATTTCATTACCCATTTATCCAATATCAATCTTAAATTGAGATTAGAAAACAGTAATAAGGATATTAAAATTTTCCACATCAAGCTGAGTAATTTCACCCAGTTTTAAAATAAAATATCTAAGTATCAATATAGCTTATAAATAATAAAGAAATGAGAGCAAGTATGTCAGAAAAAGAAAGATAATTTGAATAGCACTGCTTTTCTCTTTTAAAGTGCTGTGGATATCTCTCTAAATAAGACTACAACAAATTAAAATATAAAAATACAAAAAGCAATACGGATGTATATGCACACATGCACAAGCCTTGGCAGTTTTGCAATTAAGATATGATCAAGTTTACCAGGTATTATACTTTGTTACAACAATTTAGCAATCTTAAAGGTTGTTATTCATAGAGATCTCCCTTTCACACATACAGATAAATACACATTACATGTCTAATTTATTATAAGAAGTTGTTCTGCAATCACATAAAATACAGTGAAATCACATTTATCTATCAGCTTAGATCAAGCCTTTTAATAACTATATTGGTTTCATTACAATAGAACCCGCTACCAAAAAATTAAATAAATCCTTGGTTATGCAAATCACACTAATGAGAGTACTGAATACCTGATTGTGTGAAACATCTCAAGTCATAGTGATTAATTTTAAATTAGTCATTTTAGAAAAAATTCTGTTGCTTTGGCTCTCCTGGTAACTTCCTCTATTTCTGCAAAAAATATTAATTACAGTTATACTAGATGGTACAAGTGAGACTTTTATCCCAAAAACTACACATGAAAATGAGTTCACTGGCCCATTAAATAATACTGACGATTCGGATCTTTTTGATAGGCTGACTGTAGTTACAGACTCTGAAAAAAGAAAACTGTTCTAATTTCCCTCTCAGTAGAGGTCAACTCAGGATTTTGTCAGCTTTTAAGCTGTCTCATATTCTATATCTGCTTAAGATTTGGGGGCTGGGTTTCTGCACACATTGCCAGCTGACTTCCTGTCAGGTGTTCTAGAGGGGACACTGGTGGGAGGTTGGTGGATTAGGAACATGGAGCAAGAGAAAGGGCGTGTGGGCTAATTCCCTCAAGTTCATTCACTGCCAAATTACCTTAGCTATCATTGTTTATCCTGTGAGAAGAAACCAGTTTCTGTCTACAGATTTTTCAAGCTGCCAGCATAAGGCCCTTCATGTCCTTTCCTAAGATACTTGAATTTGAGCTACCTGATGTCTCTCCATTGAGTGCCTGAGATACCAACACTTGCTGCACAGCAGCACTCCAGGAAATAGGGATGTTAGTATGCAGAGTCCTTCTTTGTACCTATTAATCTCAATCTTCATCTTGTTGCCCAATTCCACAGTGGAGCTACATTCTGTAGGCCCTATCTCTCTGAAACAGCAGGTCTTCAAAAGCTCTTTAACCTATCTTTACATTTTATTTGTTTAAAAAGCAGGTGTTTCTGTTTTCTTGACCAGATTCGGTTGCGAAATGCATATTCTATTTTAGTTTTGGTTAGCAGTAGGGAAGAGGAAGAAAAAGGAGGAAGAGTGGGCCTCCCTGGTGGTCTAGTTTGGTAAAGCTTAGTGCTATCACTGCTATGGTCTGAGTATGAGCCCCGGCAGGGAGGTGACCCATCTGGCAAAGCTAGTTCCTGTCTCACCCCCTGCTCCTCTCTCTCTCTCTCTCTCTCTCTCTCTCTCTCTCTCTCACACACACACACACACACCATACCTCTGGCCTAAACCCCAGCTCTTCTATGCAAAAATAAAATAAATATTTTTTAAAGAAGAAATAGAAATGAAAAATATATCATTTTGAGTTTTCTATTATTTTATTGTTTAATCTCTAAAATTCCCATAAAACAGGTATAGTGACCACAAATATATTAATAAAATAGTGGCAACATTTGTTGAGTTCCAACAATGTACTAACTTAATATCATTTCATTTAATATTCACATTTTTTTGAAAAGCAAATCTATTAGATCCATTTTGTGAATAGATAATTGCAATTTAAACTAAACCACATGTCACTTTAGACATCTAGTGAGCCCTAGAACCAGAATGTGAACAACTTGTCTATGTTCTAGGGCATTGGTGCAATTATGCACATCTTCAAATTATTGACAGTTAATTGTATCATATTTTTAAAGATCTTCATTTAATAATATCACCATCACAATCATCAGAAATTTCTTTAAGTACTGGGAAGTTGTAAACCTTATGGTGACATATAAATTCTTTTCAAAATTTTTATTTTCACTTAAAAGCTCACATTTTGATTACTGCCAACAGCAATACAAAGTAGTTGTTTTACTTGAAATCACAAGGTTGCTTTATTTATTTTTTTAATAATACTGTCAAAAACCTTATAAAGCTCAATAATTCTAGTTTGAATGCCAAACTTTTATACTAACGTAGTACTAAATGAAAAAGAGGTCAGTTTAGTTTGTAATTCAAATTCAACCAAACACAAAAAAATCCTTTTGCTTGAGACATCATACTTCATTTTGCAGTATGCATACTTACTTTTCATCACACATAGAATATTTAAAAAGATGTTTATTCAGAAGATATTATAAAAATACCAGCATAGGCCCTCCCTGGTGGCGCAGCGGGTTAAAGCACAGCACTGAGAATCTAAAGCCGCTTCCGCATGAGTTCGATTCCCGCCTGCCCAGGAGGAGACCTCTCCTGACCCGCCCGCTGCTCCCCTCAGCAGTGTACTTCGTTGATCTGCCTGTTCTGTTCCCCACTCTGTCTCTGGTGAAGCCTCTCACCGCCCCTAAGCCTCTGGCCTGTACCCCAGTTCTGTATACACAAATAAATAAATCTTTTAAAAAAAAAATACCAGCATATTATTTCACAAGGACACATTGACAAATAGTGTTTTCTTTTTTGCCTTATTGAACTAACAATAGCTTGCATAGTGTATATGATTTAGGGGTAAATCACCCCATTTAGGTATTGTTATAACATCATACCCACCACCAACACACACATATTCCTCTACCATAGATCATTATGTTCCCTCCCTGCATTTTTTGTCCCTCCACATCTGGTAACCTCAAGTCTACAATCAAAATTCAAGGGTTTGTTATTGGTTTAATTTTGTCTGAAATGTATTTTATTTCTCTATATTGTACATATTTGTAACAGTTCATCTTTTTAATAATTTAGTAGTATTCTATCACATGTAGAATTATATACACACAACACACACACACACCACATCTGTCTTTGGGCATTTATATTATTTCCATAGTTTGACTATTATAAACAGCAATGCAATGAACTAGGCTATATATAGTCCTTCAAATTAACGTTTTGCATGTTCATGTAGATACATAAAATAGAATTGCTGGATCATAAGGAAGATACATCTTTAATGTTTTGAGAAATATCCATGTTGTTTTCCAGTGTTTCATATCAAATGTGCAGTAGCAAAAAATACAATGACTACCAGTAACAGTCTGTTGTTACCACTTTGAATTGCTTCAAAACACCAATAATTTTACCACCATTATAATTACTGATACAGTGAAAAGCAAATGTTACCATAATTAGCTTAAAAATTTCTTTATCTGCAGATTCTCTGAATGTATCCTGGGATCTCCATAGTTCTAAGATCCAACATTTTAAGAACCACTTATCAAATAGTGAGCTAAAAACAGTAAGTGAAGTGTTAAGATTACATCTAGAAAGTTTAACAAATGGCCCTCTTTTAGATCAGTGTGGAGATCCCCTCTCTACTCTCAATGACGTCACTAGGGTGACCTATAATCGGTTTAATCTAACATTTAAAATACCAGACCAGAGGCAAAAGAAATGACTTTGGCCCTCATGGGCAATAGTATAGTTTACAACAATAGTATACTTGAGACTATGATGATTTCTTCCCAACCAATGTCAAGAATTCTGAATTAGCTAAAGGAATAGGCAAACAAGTGACAGAGATGAAGATGCAGCTTAAAAGAAGGAAGTATGGAGAGAGGGAGACAAAAAACTGAGAAACTGAGTTAGAGAAGCATAATGAAACAGGGAGATAGTGAGGAAGCAGGGAAACAGAATACACTGTTGCATTAGATCATCAAAGAAAAATTTAATGCAGTTTTCAAAAACTAACAGTTACCAAGATTTTCTTTTTTACTTCTGAGAGGTTGGTTTAATGTGAACATATGTGAATATCTGCATGTGTGTGAGTAGTAAGAAAGATAATGTCCTTCCCTTCTTCTGTGACCTGGAAGACATACAGAATGGTGATGGAGGTCGTAAAGAATGTCCTGCATTGGAAGACCAATCTTTGCAAATGCAGCATAGAGGAGAGGAGTCCTTGTACTTGATATGAAGAACAGTGCTTTTATCCTGCAATGTATACATTTAAGCTTGGAAAAACTCAGCTTATATAAACTGAATTCAATTTCTGTTTGTTTTTAGCCATAATAGTACATGACTTCTAGTGTTTGATTTGGAAAAAAGAAGTTCTTCCTAATCTGAAATTGACACTGGTTCTCTCCACCTATCTGTGCATGTCCAGATACTTAAACGTAAAGATCCACTTTGCATTTAAATATAGACTCAAAATCAACTAATTCCTAAATCTCAGCACTATTGCCATGACAGACAAGGACAGATAATAATGCTATATTCATTGTACGTGAACAATTAAGCAAAGATGAAATGACTCTATGTCACTATGACTTCGTCATGATTAGAGTTCACATTAAATGAGATGAGCCTGAATATGATTAGGTCCCAATTAGTCAATGAGAAGAAAATG